TCTGACGAGGATTGATCAAGTATTTAGTCGGCGAAATATTATGAGGATTGATCAAAGTAAATAAAAATGCTGTAGTATCATTCTTATATGAATGATTACCTGATGTCCACGGTATAGCTGTATAACCTCCAAACAGATAATTATTATTTGTTTCTATGATTGTCATTGTTGGTCCTTTATTATTACAATGTGAATGAAATGTATTGCCATCAAATCCATCACGTGATGCTTTGTAGATTAATTCCCATCGTTGATAAATCTTGCCATAAAATTCATTCAACCTTTTCTGATGTACTAATTCCAGTAATGATCCATTAGGAAAATATATAACGCCTAATCTATCCATTAGACTATGCAAACGAAAATATTCGGCTTCAACGATAAGACGTTTTAGAAGTGATTTATCGTTCATAACATTATCTGGCAACATATTTGTACGTAAATATTCAAGAATATAAGTAAAAATTGTACCATTTCGATCGATGAATATACTTCGATCATCAGGATCTCTTTCGAGTTGCCATTGTTCAGAGAAAAGTGCTGTGAAAAAAGTATTTTTTTCACATGTTAATGTCTCAATACTTGTGGTATATTTATCACCTCCTACATTGAGTATGACCATGCCTTTCATAGATGTTGTTGCTAATTTAACTTTAATATCTTTCCATTCTTTTTCTTCATTCGATGTATTAATTAACTTGTTTTCTAAGACGGTAGTTATTTCTTTTGCTTGATGGCATAAGTATTTTGCAGATTTGATACAATCACTACATTCATTTAACTTTAAAATAACTTCGTTACGTAACTTATCAAAACGTGTTTCGAGTTCATGGACATTGTCTCGAACAGTATGTAAATTGGAATCCATTTTTTTTATTACTTCTTGGAAAAATGATGATTTTTAAAGTACCGTATTATTCAAGATTGATAAAAAAAGAAAATAATCTTCGTTGGTTTTGTTCTGTTTGAAATACGTAGGGTACACACGACAAATAAGCTGAGTTGATAGAAACTAAAAATTTAAATAACTCATTGTATACTCGTTGTTTCTCTGCATCGGTATATTTATTTCTGAAGTCATGCAACTCGTAACTCTTTCATAGTCTCTCAAAACGCTCGCTACAAGCATTGCACAATCTACTAGAATTTGTTCATTTAGTCGATAAAAAAAAATTGAAAGCTTAAAAAACTTGTCTAAGAAATATGCATGAAGAAAGAAATATAACCTTGGCGGTGTTTGTTGAATTTATTTTTCTCATTTAATGAGTTCAAAGAAATCTTAATTAATAAAGGAAATGTCCATTTTTGAAAAGAATCAACTAGCAAACAAAAAACTGATTTTGATGTTGAAATCAAATTTCCAGCTAATGACAATAGATAACGAAGTCTCTAGAAAAACTGCATAGTGTTATAAATGTGCCTTTACTTTTTCGAAAAAATATTAATTTGAAAAGAAAGAATATATACAAATTGTCCATGAAGATTTCTTTAAAAATGAACTCACATAGACATATAAGTTATGAATATGTTTATATTAATGAATTGTTTAGTAAACAATTTTCTTCATTTAGATTTCAATAAATTAATATGACTTCAGTAATTATTTTAGAGGATTGCGAAAGTAAAAATTGTTTAATTCTTAGCCTTTGCAGTGGTTCCACAGGCACCGCTGATAAAACAACTTTATAAGTAGAGTATTAGTTTGTCTAATATTCTGATAATGTCGTCTAATCCATCGAATTTTTATATGCTTATATACGGCTGTTTGAAGGATCTAATGATTGCGTGATGAAGAAAGGATCTAGAGCGGCATGCTAAACTGGGATTTTTTTTTCGTTAAGCACATTATGGAGTGAGCAAAAGAAACATCAATCCTATTTTTCGTAGTAATAGAAAAAAGGAAGAAATGAATCGATAAAAATTAATGTCAAAAGTAGACATTAAATTATGAAAAAAAATATATAATTTCAACTTCTGATTTGTTGATGTTTTATAATACATTTATTAACTTTGTTCTTGATTGCACTTCAACTCTCTTATAATGACTCAGCGATGAATCATAATTTATATCACACAGGTATTCTGAAAGATCTGTATTGTGTGTCAATAGAGAACATTTCGTTTCTGCAATCGTTTTACAAGTGGTCATTTCAGTGGCCAAGGGACAGATAGAAAAAGATCAAATGTTAATGAGATCGTAAACAAAAACGCGTAAAAATAGAAGAGAACCAAAGAAAGTAAAAAAAAAGAATGTGGTTTAGTTAGTCCAATTTCTCAAAACGACAAAGAAAGTCAACTGATTTCCATGATAGTTGTTACTGTTGAGCATCAAGAAGTCGATCAACTTTGGAAAATATGTGAACAAACTGACGGGTACACATAGAAAAATGAGAGTGAGACGAGAAAATATAAAAGAGTTATTGGAATATTTATTAAAACATCATAGAAGAAGATATGCAAAATGAAATAGATAATAAAGTTCATGTTCACTTGAGAATTTATCGTTGCACAATGATCGATCGGTTATTTTATGGTCACTGATTGATAGCTTCATTTTTAAGCATTCATTGACTGCGGCGCCTGCATTCTGTGTTGTTCAATGCAACACGCCGATCTGTTGTGACTAGAGATCGACTTTGTTCGCAATCAACCTCATCGTTTAAAGCATTTAGAAGTTTCTTCATCAATATATGATTCATTTAAAAGTTGTCACGATTTCGTTTAGTTATTAGCATTCACTCAACAAACATTCACTATCATAAGTCAAATAGTATGAAATACGAAATAATGAAAATCTATTTTCGAATTCACCAAGAATTGATGAAAAATATTCATTTCGTTTGCAATAATATACAAAAGAAATAATTACAATCGAATCAGCTAAATATAAATGTTTTTATGAATTTACTCATTCGTTGTGGATAACAACCGAATTAACTTATATTACATTCGTCACTTTTACACGGTCGAGATAAGTCGCATCTTATTTTCGTCGGTTACGTACATTTCTTTGTTCAACTCGTCGAATTCATTTATTTGATAAATTACTTATATTACATTATTTTCAAATTATTTTTGAAATTATTAATTAAGTTAATTAGTTCCAGTCGATTCTACGAGTGGTTCATCGTTAATCATGCCTCCCAGAAAAGGAGGAACTAATTTATCCAAACAAGGACAAATTTATGTTAATGGTGAAAATGTAAATCAAGGTCAAACAGCAGTAGCTGATGTTGGAGGAACAATGGCGATGAGTCATATTCCGAGAACAAAGGCCTCTGCTACAACAAAGACTTCTTCAGTAACAAAGGCAGGCCTGATAAAGCAATCAAATTTTAGCATTGCTCCTCTAATTCTAGAGGGTGTTAAGCTACATAAATTACAATTAAATGATGTTATCAAACAGCATTTAAAGGACTTACGAATATCTGATATTCAGCTAAGTCGATCAGGTCACTTTACAATATATGCAGCTGATGTTAGCTCGTTTAATCGTCTATTAAATGAGTTAACACCAATACTTGCAACAAATGGACAGGCTACAGCTAAAATATATGTGCCCCGATCCATTCAACGTATTAAAGATACGGAAAAGGTCGCATTTGTTAAAAATGTCGACATAGAAATTCCTGAAGGTCGAATAACTGAAGCATTAAAGGACGTTGGACTTGATGCTATTGATGTTGTTCGACTAATGAATAAAACTAAAAATGTTCCTACTAGAACGATCAAGATTACATTTAGTGATCCACATAATCGAAATACATTCGTCCATACTGGTTTACAAGTGGACTCAATGCATTTCATAGCTGAAGCAGCAAATCAAAACACCAAACCTGTACAATGCTATATATGTCTGAAATACAATCATGTGGCAAAATACTGCAAAACGAAACAGCAGATATGTGCTAGATGTGGTGAAACTCATCACATTGAACAATGTAGTGCTGGTAGTGATGTAGTAAAATGTTGCAATTGTAAAGGAAGTCATTTAGCAACATCAAATGAATGTGCAACTTATAAAGAACAGGAGAAACGAATTAACAATTTAGTTAATCAATATTCATCTCCGAATGTACCAACAACATCAGCTCCAGCCATTCATGATTTAAATGAATTCCCATCGCTACCAAACATCTTACAACGTCAACAAGAACACATTCATAATGAATTATTCGATGAAATTATCAATGTATTAAGCAGCAAAATGGAAAAGATTATCGAAGAAACAACCAGCCGACTATTCCAGAAGCTACTTAAGAAAATCAAGAAGATCGAAACATTCATCGAAACACATGACAACAACGGTAAAGATGCCTTGACTATATCGGATTTTGATTCAGAAGAAGAAAGTCAAGTAGTCAAACACATTAGAAACAAGCAAAACCCAAGTGCAGCAATAACCAAATTAACCACCTCAGCAACTGATACATCAAAGAAGCCAACAACAACCTCAAATGTAACTTCATCAAAACCACCACGAAAAGTTAAAGAAGTTTCGAAAGCAGCCAAAAGAGTTCGATCACCCAACAGCTCCTTAGATACATCAACATTTGACAGCAAAGATCTCAAAACAAGCAACAACGATGATTAGTGTTTGTCATATTAACATTACCACTATCAGAAAACACAAAGACGAACTCCTTGCCAGATTCTCCAAATACGACGTCATATCTGTAAATGAAACTAATCTGAAAAGAGACCAACCGTTCTCTCTGAAAGGTTACAACATTTTCAGAAACGACCGAGTAGGAAAACCTGGTGGAGGAGTATTACTAGCTGTCAAACAACATATCAAATGTAATGAAATTCTAAGCAAAACGGTTGGAAAAAATGAAATTATAGCTGTGGAAATTACTACACGTTCATTAAAGAGCGTATTAATCTCTTCGATCTACGTACCACCAACAGCAAAAATCCAGATCAACATCTTTAATGAACTGTACAATTTAAACAACAACTGCATCGTAGTAGGTGACCTTAACGCAACATTATACAATATGGGATCAAGAAAAACAAATGCAAGAGGAAGACAGTTACAAGAGGTAATAAATGAAGGTTATTTTAACTGTATTGATGATGTTAGTACCACATTTGAAAAGAATGATTATGAAGTAAAGATTGACTGGATATTAGCCAGTCAACCTCTTCATTCATTAATATCAAACGTCGAAACCCACCCAACAATCGGTACATTAAGTGGTCACAAACCATTAACCTTTGTTATACCAATTGGATCTGAACCCAAACCTGCATCTCCAAGATTATCCCTTAACTTCAAAGCAGCAAATTGGCCAAAATTTAGAAATAAATTAAATGAACAACTAATGCTATGGAACAAACATCATTATATAAATTCAGAATCAGATGTAGAAGAATATACGTCGTTTATTACCAACAGCATTACTACAGCAACACAAGAAGCCATACCAACATCAAAAAAATTGAACACAAACATTAAACTAAGTGAAGCAACCAAACATCTGATCCAGCTCAAACATAAAACTTATCGTAAATGGAAGAAGACTGGAGAAGATAGTGAAAAACAACAATATTATAAATGTAAGTTGTTACTGACAAATTCACTTAGAAACGACAGAAAAATCAACTTCAACAACCTTATGTCGTCGTTATCCCAGAAGAACATGTATTCAGAATCAGTATGGCTTACGGTTCGTAAGTTTCACAACAAGCGAATTAAACAAAGCCACAGTAACAACATCAAATATAACAACGTAACTTCGACATCAGATAAGGAAAAAGCCGATTTATTTGCTGAATATTTTCAAAATGAAGTATATGTCGAACCACCTGACATAATACCATTTCATCAGCAAGTAACAAGGCAAACGTACAACATTAAAAACAGATCTTCTAACACGAAACTAAACAAGTGGAAGAAGATCACAATTAAAGAAGTTAAATGGAATATTAAACAACTTCGTAATAGCTCCTGTGGTCCTGACAACATTCATAACAGATGTTTAAAGAACTACACGGAATTATTCATTCAACATTTAACTAAATTATATAACTCTATTTTAAATCTTGGATATATACCAACTGGATGGAAAAAGGCTAATATTATACTGTTATTAAAGCCTAATAAAGATAAGCAACATCCTTCAAGTTATCGACCAATAAGTCTCCTTAGTTGCCTCGGCAAACTACTGGAGAAAATAATGAAGCAACGACTGATGGTTATTCTGGAACAACGTAACATCTTGCCAGAACATCAAGCTGGCTTCCGACCTCGAAAAAGCACCTTAAACAACATTATAAGGTTAACAAAATATGCACAACAACATATGCATTCATCTGGTCGTCGTCGACATGCAGCAGTTATATTATTCGATATCAAAGCTGCCTTCGATTCTGTCTGGCACGATGGATTAATATATAAATTAAATGAACTACGTCTGCCACAATACTTAACAAATTATCTCATCTCTTTTCTACAGAATAGAACTGCGGCTATTGAAATTGAAAACATTCTATCAAGACCATTTAACCTCAACAGCGGCACTCCACAAGGGTCTCCGTTATCTCCATTACTCTATATTATATACACGGCAGATTCGATGAATGGAATACCAGAACATACAGAACATGGTCTATTTGCCGATGATACTGCTCTATGGACATCATCAAACACAATAACAAGCCTTAGTTCTAGGCTACAACAATCCATAGATGAATTTCAAAGTTGGTGCAATTCATGGAAACTTAAACTACAGCCCAGTAAAACTGAACTCGTTCACTTTACTGTACATCCTCGTAAACAGTTTAAAAATCCAATATCGGTAAAAATAGATGATACAACTGTCAAAGCATCCAATTCAACAAGATATTTAGGTGTTATCATCGATAAAACGTTGAATTGGAGAAGTCATCTACATCACATCGAATCGAAGATTGCTGGTCGTATTAGTCTGTTACGGTTTTTAAATAGAGCAGCTTACGAACCTAATGACAAAATTATGTTAAACATCTTCAAATCAATTGCAAGATCGATTATCATCTATGGTTATCCAATATTACTTACTGCCAATGATAAAATATGGGAAAGACTACAAATAATGCAAAACAAAGCCATTCGTGCTGCATTAGGATTACCCATATATACATCCGTCGAATATATCCATCGAATTACCAATATCCCCAAAATTAAAGAATATGCCGTTACTCTCCTGCAACGTTATATTCAAACAGCAACATCAAATAACGACCAACTACTGACCAACAACCTGCAAGATATATTCAACAAACTTCAATAAGAAATCACCTACCCATGTTATATATTACATATAGCATCGTCATTATCGACCATTGTTGAGTCGACCGAATCCATACAAAAATTGTTATATCGGAATCATCGACTTTAACTTTGCATCATACATATATATATATATACTATTATAACAACTTCCATCGTATAACCTCTTTTCACGAGACATAAGACATTCGTCATGCGTCTCGGCGTTTCTCTCCAGCCTTTTGTATATTTGTATATATTGTTGCTTCTTTTTTGTTAACATCTTAATAAAAAGGCTTTGACTCCAAAAAAACTTATATTAGATAATTTTTACTTATTACATATTTTGACTTCTTGTTCAACATTGCAACACGATCTAAATATATTCTTGATGTTGAATCAGCACTATTCTTTTCAAACAGTTTTTTATGAAAATGTTTTAAATGTAAAACTAACGTAAAATATTTCTAAAATCTCATCGAATAAGTAATTTATTGCTCATAACGATGGTATCTATCAATGGGTATTTGATTAAATGTGGTACAAATATTAAAATAATATTGCATTGTAATATTTACTTGTTATACATAATGATGCTCTCCCTCTCTTAATGCTTATCACTTGATAGATGTATGTAAGGTTTTTGACATGCTGATGAAAGATCAGATCTCAGCCTATCTTCCTGTTCACTTATCTCAATTTTAATAATTCTGACGAAAATCGATTTTCTTTGAAGAATGATGTGGCCTTCTTTATATAGAACTAAATATACATCATTAAATGAGATGCATTGTACAAAAATTAAAATAAATTTATATATGATTATTAAAAATTTGATTAAAGATGAATAAATATCAACACATAAATGTCGCGTAGGTGAAGAAGAATCATATACTTCCACCCACACTCATGTTTGCATCGCGTACAGGCATGCAAAGAACAGGTAAAAATACGAATAAAATACACAAAATTCGTTACATCGTCTGTGCATTCTTATTTTTATTTTCTCATATTTTCGTTCTGTCTTTAATGATGATTAAAAAATAAAATTCATTCCTGTTCTGTACATGAATGACTCAGTTTTTCATGGTCGATATACATATATAATGTAGATAAGCGATCGAAAAATGTGTTAGTGGTAAAGTTATATTATTAGTCAATAGGTACTAAGCAACTGTTTTCTGAATTTGTTTTGCATACTGTCAGTGGTATTCGTCCTTTAATCGTCGATTCAGTCAAATTTAGGTAAGTTATCAAAGTAGAAACTCATCATGTAGTGTGAATAGGCATTATTGTCCGTTGAATTAAGCTAGTTACAAACAAAACGAGAGGTACATTCGAATTTCTGAACTCAGATCGTGTGCTCTCTGTACGGAATCAAGCTTGCTTATCAAAGTGAAATATGCGAGCAAACATATACTTGTTTAAGTGCTATTCTGATAGATATCACTTTATTTAATTAACATGGAACGTACCAATTCTCGACTTGGCTTTTTTATATAGATAGATTGAGATTATTGTAGTCAATCGGTAGTGTAGAGAATTACAGATATCTCTGTTTCCATTTCTTTAGACAATCAGTCGTATGTAACTGTTCATTCAAAAAATCAGTATTGACACATATTCACGGTGTATCATAAATACCCTTACAACGAAAATTTTGAGTATTTTCACTCTGCTTCAATCAGTTCGTCTCTTTTTTGTCTCCACTTTTATCGATTGAAACTGTGAGTCATTGATTGAAAAACTTGCTACAGCAATTCTACTTTGAGATGCTTTTGAAGTTTTCAACAAGGATATTGCAAAACGGCTTCAGTATAAGTATCAATCCTCTTCCTTCTTCAACGAATCCGATTTTTGGATTGAAAGTCCATCAAACTGATTAGTTAGAGACATGTTATGAGAATACTGGTGAAACCGTTACTGACCTATAGTGGTTATGGTTTTCCAACCAGTGGATCAGCGACACTGAACTAGTGAATGGTCGTCACTGTTGTATCCCTACTAGTTCTGTATTGATCACAAGAAAAAAAAGATTACCTTCTTATGTACCAGCAACATGTCAAGTTATCTTGTTTTATTCTACTTTGGTTTGTCAGAACTAGTAGGGACACAACATCAGTCGTGTCGTGTGCTACAACTTTTCTATTTCTTAGTCTCGTTCCATTATTCATTGGTCGATAGGTTTCTGACAATTCACGATAGCATTGACGGCTGATAGAAAACTCTTTAGAACAGATTTTTGATGCTACAATTTGATCCATTCATTTTAGTTCATTCCTCGAACAGCAAGCATTCACTTACAATCCATCTGTATATAATCAATTCCATTTAAACACAATCATATAGTTTCGATGAAAAAGTCATCAAAAATAGCTGATCCAAACCTAATCTCACGCGATTTATTCACATCGTTGATCAATCTTCGTCAAGAAATCTTGAAACATGAATCAAGCACGGATATTAATCATATGGATTCAATGGTTCTATCCTGTATTGAGTCAGTTTTGACTTCCATAAAATCTCTTCTTTACGTCGAGAGTCCAAAAGCACTTACCGATATAATTCATGCTATATGGAAAATGTATATCGCTGACTTTCTTTCATTGACCGAATCCATCAATATTCTTGCCAGTGATCAATTTCAACACATATTTAACTCCGTCATGAAAGTGTACACATCCATCAACTTTCAATCCATCTTCAGAGATGACACATGCTACGCTCGTGATATTTTCTATCGTATCTTTGAATTACTGTCACTACCAGCCATTACAGTCCTTCTCAAAAATCAATCCAACAATCAAATTATACCACATACAGCTAACATCTTGCGCATATTGCTACTGCAAATGGAAAATATTGTCGAAGACATCGTGTTCAAAAAAGATGATTTACTTAATCAAGAATCTACCATTCAACTTCTATTAGAATACGTAGATGCGAATTTATTTGAGACTGACAATGATATTCAACTCACGATCGTTGAAATATTGGAATTTATTTGGACATTGGTCGATAACACTATCCTGGTACCACAATTACTCAATGCAAATTGTGTTTCATTTACGCTCAAATGGATTAATACGAACGACTTATCACTCACTATTCAACGGACTAGTATTCGGCTCTTATACAATATAGCACGACATGAACAAGGATGTGATGCATTGAATGGAGCCAATGCCATTCATTTATTGAAAGAATTTAAACATCGAATTTTAGATCCAACTGTTGATGATGCAGCCTACGAAGATATGCGTTTACTCTTTTCTATGGCACTAGCACTATTAACGGAACCGAAGGAAAACGAAAGTAATGCCAAATCACTTAGAAAAATACTCGATCAACTGATGCAGTTAACTATCAATACCGCACGAAAAAAAAATCACAAATATGGTGATTTTGATATCAGTGAACCATTAGTGGTTTTCACAAAACTTTTCGTTCATGACGAAATTATACATTATTGCATCAAGGAATCTGAAGTCAAAGATATGAAAGCATCTTCGAAAATCGCCTTCTTTTGTGATCTAATGATGCAATTTCGAGGTGCTCTCGCTAATGATGACGAACTCGATCAACGAACGCTCACAGCGCTGATGAACATTATTTGGAGTATTTCGTTTCATCATGATTATGTCGACGAACTCAAATCGAATGCAAAATTTCTCATCACTGTCAAAAGTCTCGCCAATGACGATGGAGAAGGTTGGATTGAAAAATACGTACCAAAACACATGTCATCAGTAAAAAAAGCAGCCGCGCGCATTTTATGGAATCTCGATGAAAGTAGTCCAGGTTAGAAAACTGATACATCAATTGATTTTATTTTGATCTGTTTTATATTGAGTTCAGCACGACCAGTTCACACAGTGGAGTCGACATCAACTATGGTCGATCAGACAAATTCTTCTCTAGTGACCGTAGCGGAAAACAGACGAATGCGTATCATGGTCAGCTATTCGCATGTGGATGCTGAGTTTTGTCATCAACTGGTAGATGCACTTGAAAAAGGTATGTCCCAGGGCTGTACATGTACATCATTTGACTAGAGTGTAGGTGTGAATGAAGAGAAGACGCACATTAATACTATCAATATCGTTAATAAGATTGTTGACCTGACTCTGTCGGAAGTCATTTGATCCAAGAAAACAAATATTTGATCTAAAAGCTCTCAGAAAATAAAACTCACTTTTTTTAAAATGTTTCTGTTGTATATTACAAGATAATAATAGTTATTTCCATTAGTTAACACTTGTATACCATTTTCTAAAGCATTTCACGCCACATTTTTCACGAAAGAAATAAGGAGCAACATTTGGTACCAAACAAAGAAAAATGTGTGAAGTTTAAATTCTTCTTTGAGATGTCTATTCTCCTTAAAATTTATGTACCTCGTTGTTGTATTTCATTTTAAACTTATGATTCATGTAGACCGAAAATGTTTGAGTATGTAAGAAGAAATAACTGATGACAACGATTTTTCTGTCGCAAAAAATATACGTCAGTCATTTTCTGAGATTTAATGTCGGGCTCTTCTAAGAAAACATCCTTGTATCTGTTTTAGAGAATCTTTTCGATATTTGGGTTGACTTCGATTATTGCCATACGGAAGATCTGTGGGGAGAAATCGGTCAAGCAATCGAAAAGTCTGATGTAATACTTTTGCTCATGACAAAAGATTATCAAGATAGCAAATCATGTCGTCAAGAAGTGATGTATACGAAAGATTCGCTGAAGAAACGGTTTATTCCCGTCTATGTAAAACGAGATTTTGTGGCTAGTGGTTGGTTAGGTGTACGCATTGTCGGTCCACAATACATTCGTTTTGGCAAAAAATCTTTTGAAGCAACGATCAAAGATCTTGTAAAACTTATTTTTGAAGATAAGAGTGAGAAAAGCTCAAAACACAAGGATTCTACAATGTCCGTAACTGTCCCTCCTGTTGCAATCAAGCCCAATGAGAATGACAAGTCGAATGAAGAATCGCCAAAAGATGATCATGATATTTCTAATCAA